TATGTATATTAAGAAGGAACAAAAATAAAAACTGATGGTCTCATCGAAAATGAAAATTTATGTCCATTTTAAGATTCCATTTGTGGATTAAAGAATAAAATTGTCATATTTTGAGGTTTTATAAAAGTTCCTTCAAGGTGCATTCAATGTCGAATCAAACATTTGTTTGCAGTTATTAAAGTATTAACAAATTTTAAATTTCAGGATTTTTTTTATTATACCCTACACCACTTTAGTGGAGAGGTTTGTGGGTTTGTGCTAATGTTTGTAACGCAGAATAATAATGGTCCTATACCCACCTTAAAGTATACCAATCGGCTTAGAAACATTTTCTCAGTCGATTTAGTCGATGATTTTCTATTGTCCCAGGGACGAAGCCTATAGAAAATGGCTATGATCGGTCCATTATTTCACCTAGCACCCATATAACTGAACCCCTGAATAGAGCTTGTAAACCTTGTAATCAAACTACAAGTCGCAATTTTGATAATAATTCAATGAAATTTGGCACATAATCTTCTATGGTACAGGAAACGAAGCCTATTGAAAATGGTTAACATCGGTCCATGATTTCACCTAGCCCCCACACAACTGAACTCGACGAATAGGGCTTTCAAGTTCATAATTATGTTTAATATAATCGTATCGAGACAAAAACCTGCAAGAACAAGTTCTATACTAGCTTTGATGACTCTCATGAATTTTATAATTATAAGGTCTCATTTGACCATAGCCCCTATACAAAGCCCCATTCAAAATTTGACCACAATTTTATTCAACAATAAATGGCTTAAGTATATCTGAGACAAGGTACAATTCAACTTAAATGCTTTATTATGAAAACTAAATTAGTTTGTTAAATTGTAGCCCAACCGGAACGGGAATCTCTTCTGTGAAATCTTATAAATTAATTTGACTATTTGTAACAGAAATGTTACACGGGGTTAAGGTATTAAGCTCAATTTATATAATTTTATTATCAATAAGTATTAACATTTAGCTTCCATTTGGGCTCAATTTTGACTTTTGCACAAAATTTAGATATACATATAGAGGTGGACAACCTTTATTTAATCCAACATATCAATTAAGAAAATTACGAATTTCATTCTGATGTCTCATTCCTGTTCCCAGTACGAAACAAATAATCATTTAATACCTGGTTTATCAAGAGGGGTTTATAAGGTTCTATGACCAATTATGAGTCAGCCGTTACTTTTATAATTTAGTCAATATTCTTATGCTGAATTTCATCAATGGGGCTATTTAAGCCAAAAATCGAAAGAGTTTATCTTAATGTCAAATATGTATATTATTTGGACAATTTTTTGTCAAGTAACCCAACTCAAAAAATCGATTTGGATGACATTTACACCAAGGTTAGTACTATTGGCCAGACGCATAATTTCAGCTCTATCGGTCAAGAACTACCAGCGTTAGAGGGAGTCAAAGTTTCAAATGAGTGTAAATTTTCACCTATCAAAATTTACTTTTTTTGCTCGAAAGAATGCTTAGACCATTACATATAAGAGCTTTGTACTTATTTAGTGGCATGCAAAAGGCATATCTATAAATTGAAATTTCATCCAAATCGGTTTTTTGAGTTGGGTCACCTGACACGAAATTGCCCAATTGCGTCGAACAATTGCGATCTGTAATTTGTTACAATGAGCTTAGTTATATAAATGATAAAATTACTATAGATTACAAAAATACTAAACATTTGACCCCATATTTATTATCAATTTCATATAATAACATATATTTAAGTAAAGCATTTTCTATATCTTATACAAAATTATTTTAAACTTTAAATATTCAAACACTCACTTTCCTTTGATAACATGATGTCTTTGACTTTATTAACCCAAATACCTTTTCATTTTCATACATATTTTCGATATTAAAATAAAGAAATTAAAAGTATTTCTAAATATGACAAACTATTTACAAAAAATAATTACCAACAATGATTGACAATTACACATTTGGACAATAAATTAATTTCTTAATCAATTTCAAAGAATTTGTAAAGTAAAAGTAAATTCCTTTACATTCAATATGTCTATTATTATAAAGAAAACATTTAATATAAATGTCACCTGTAGCGTATAATTAATAAGTTATTAATATCAATAATTATTACGTATACGTTTGTTTGAATAATTATGTTTCTCTAATAAATATCGAATTTATTTTTGTTTGTCTAAATAATTTTAAATATTTAAACGATTTTCAATCATTTTTGAGTAAATAGCATTTTCATTAATTTAAATTATTTATTCACCATAAATTTCTGAAATATTTTTTAAATCTATTTATATAAAATTATGAGTTATAATCTTACATACATGCATTTTTAATGATTTTTCATATTTTTTTCCTCATCATCGTTATTGGTAATTATACCTTATTTTTTGTTTTTTTTTTTTCCTTAACAATATGAGTTTTTAATTATAGTATTATAAAATTTTATATAAAATACATTTTAACACGATATTCATATATAGAATAGACAACAAGTTAATTACTGTCACGAACTTTTATTTGAAAAAATATATATGTATTTACAAAATATGGGGCGCTTACACAATAATGAAGATATATTTATTGTATTTTAGACAAAAATCTAAAAAAATTAACTCGATAACATTATAAATAAATTATTTAGGTGGCGCTTTTAAAACAGGTTTAATAGTTATGAATGAATTTGTAAAAGTTCATATAAAAACTATTTATTTATAAGATGTCCTTGTTGATAAAATTATGATGCATGTTTTTATGTAAGTACACAGAAGGAAAAAGAAATATATACGCCTGGTACCAAATTGACACCAAAGAGTTTGTAATTTTTCAATAACATCTGTTGTCAAAGTATATACATACGTACTACAACACTATGTAATGTTGACAATGTAACGTTGTCAACATTGCAACAATTCGTTGTCGAAATCTAAATTTTAAACACATCCGTTGTCTAAATGTTAACAAACGTGGCAAGCTTACTATAGGCAACAGTTTGCTTGTCAATAGTGAGCTTACCACGTTTGTTAACATTTAAACAAAATTTAGATTTCGACAACAAATTTTTGCAATGTTGTCAACATTACATAGTGTTGTCGTATGTATGTATATACTTTGACAATAAATGATATTGAAAAATTATAAACAGTTCGGTGTCAATTTGGTACCAGGCGTGTATATTTCTTTTTCCCTCTGTGTAATGATATGAACAAATTTCTGATAATATTTCTATCTGAGAGCTAAGAACTGTTTTTATTGAGCCAATTATATTTTAATTATTAACTGAACACAACAACCTTACGATATTGGTTCAAATTTAACTCAACTTATCTTTAGATTTTATGCTCGAATATCATTTGACACATAGTGTTAGTTTTAAAAGCAATCCCTCACTGTTTAGGAATATTTTATAAATCCTGTAGTCCTAGAGAGAAAATACTAGCTCTTCTTACAGATTTGTTTAGAATTAAAATCGGTCCAGATCATGTCCAATTCCTATCAAGAGCCTATAATCGCCAAATCCTCTTATTTCTTGAAACCCATATAAACTTGACAAAATATCGTTTGAGTTTGGTCAGATAGAGTTTGTAATTAAGATTATATTCTCCTATTTTAGTATTGAGAGAGCCTTGATAGATAAATTACTGTTCGCGTAGATATTATTAGTCGCTAATTAATTTTGAGCTTAATCTCGCCGCCATATCAATTTCGTAAATTTCTGCTTGATAAATTAGCGCAGAAAAATAAGGGTTTTGCTGCGGAATTTTGGATAAATTAAAATTGGCACATAGCTACTCCTTAACGCTAAGCGAGATATTGGAGGTCAAAGGTTACAAAAATCTGTATTTAAAGAATATCTCACTTATTATGCGTCGTACGAGTTTTGATGTTATTATAATTTCTATAGAGAATTGAATTGCCTACATTTTGGTTGAGGAATATTTTCGCATAACATTAGTTGTTTTCGAGCTATAGTGCATTATTTTTTCATTACAATGACATTTTCAAATCTTAATATTTTTAACTCCAATACAGATAATGTCGCAGTTTTCTTTCTTATATTAGCTAAAAGTACATAATTAATTTCACTCTCTGACCCATAATGCAATGTCCGTCTATCCGACAATTTCCAATGGGGTTACAGATCAAAATTATGAATATAATTTGAAAAAAAAATGGTGGACATAATCTGCAAAGTCAGGAATATATTTCCACCAAATTTCATTTAAATCAGACTACGACTTTAACAAGCTCTAATATAGAAAACCGACTTTAATTTGTATCCAATATTAATACAAACCACTGTGTTTTTGCTCTTTTTAAAATTCAAAAATTGTTACAAAATATTTAAATATAAAGTCTGATTTTAATAAAATTTGGTGGGACTGTGGTGGACAGTGACCACAATTTTTTTCTAATTCTGATCATAAATATCACCTGTAATACTATCAGAAATTGTGGAGAGACAAACATTGCACTATGGGTCATAAAGCAAATGTGAGATAAGAGGTGTAACAGTGTATAAGCATATATTAACTGCTTATGAATAACGTAAAAATTATGAGAAATTTGTACAAATTCAAAAATCAATTTGGCTGAAATTTGCACCAAGGAGGACAGACAAAAACTGCAAAGTTTTTGAGTTAAAAGATTTGTTTAAAAAACCCTGTATGACCATATTGTCCAACTTTGACACCCTCTAACTCTGGTAGTTCTTGACCAATACAGCTGAAAATTTGTGTCTGGCCTACTATTAGTGCAAATTTCATCCAAATTGATCATTTAAGTTGGGTCAAAAGCAACAAAAATTATAACTTTGTATTAAACTAAAAAATACATGAAAAATATTATTTGTTTATATTATTTTATTGTCGTAAATATTTAAAAAATATATTTATTAAAAGCAATACCCCAGCTAAGAATGACAATTTTATATCTACTTTTTTATAAATACTAAAACTATTTAAATTACTTACTTTTTACAAAAATTAAAAAAAAAAATCTGTAATTCGTTAAATTAACAACAATTTCATGAAACAGGTGTTCGTTGTTATAATTTCAATTATTTTAACACTTGCACTACACTATAATTTTATTATTTAATTATGATTATTATTTAAAGGACCAAATTTTTTCTTATATCAATTAATACTATATTTAAACTATTATGGAATATTTTAAGATATTTTTCTTTTCTTTAAGGATATGACTTTTTTACTATATTTGCTAAAGGATATGTACGGGGAGCTATTATTTCTTTGCTAGCTTTAAAATTTATTCATTTTTCTTAAACAATTTATTTTTTTCAATTTGCTTCATCTAAAGTAAACATTTTGACATGACATTTTCATTATAAATTCATCACTGTTGTTTTTGAAATTTTTTTTCTATTTTTCGGTTTTCTTTATGTAAATATTGAATGTGTTTTTTTTTTTTTTTTTTTCTTCTATTTTTATTATTACTGACACATTTTCTTTTATAGATTTTTTAACACGTTTTTAGCATAAATTTTCTTTCACTTTTCATTTTCTATTTTTTCCTCTGATAACTTCAGCTGTATATGTATGTATGTTGCTACAATTTATTAATTTAATTAAATTAATTTTCTTTTTAGCACAATCATAATTTGTTTTTTTTCTGGGATGAAGCAAACAAAATTGTTGATGTCGATTGTGTTAAGTAGTTGGGAAAGCACGTTGTATGGCCTTCATTAGCAGATGATTTTGCTGTTATTTGGCATTAGTTGATATGCGTGGTATTCTATGTTGAAGTTTAAAATTTTGCTACCAGCGGTTGACGGTAGATATGACAACCGTCAGATACAACATGTACGAGTTTCTATATATTCTTATAGCTATTTTACAAGATACGAGTATTAAGGGTGACCGATTTTCATAATATTACCATGATAACAATGATGTTACCAGTGTTAATAACGAAGCTGATGATGATGTTGGAAAACAACAACAACGATGTGACCGTAACGCGTGCAACGCGTAACAAACGACGTGAAATGAATTTTCTATTAAATAATCTTAAATGTTTTGGTGCCGAGTGGTAAGTAGGTGGCATGCCACATTTCCTTTATATAAGTAAGGAAAATAACGCGTTTAAATTAAATTAAATTTAAAAGTTTTTTTTTTTATTCCAAAAGCACTTGTAACTTGTTGTTATTTTTATAACACATTTAATAATTTTCTTGCACTAAAAATACGCATTTTTTAAAGGCTTAAGATTTTCTATTTAATTTGATTTTTATTTATAATAATTTAATTTTTTTTTGCCATACTACACACCGTTGTTTTTTACTAACTTAAAAAAAGTTGCGTATCCTCGCTCCAGGACGAAACGTTACGTTCAGATACGAATATTAAACTGAGCACTAGTTAAGTGCGAAAATTTTATCGTCGCACATCTATAACAAAACACGAGCCACAAAACCTTAATATTGTTTTTTTTTTTCCCCTTTAGATTGTTGGTATATTTACTATACGAAAGTAAAACAGAAAATATCCCAATTTCCACACTCTCTAATAAAAACCAGAGAACAAATAACATATAAAAAATGAGTGCCCTCAAAAATACGACTAAATATTCTAAAAATCAAATAAAATTCCTATATATTAACTGGTATTCGTTTTATAAAATCTACTTAACTCTCAAAATAAAATATAGAGAGAGCTAAAAGTGGCATAGTAAACAAATATTCCTTTTAGCGTAATTTTAAAAAATATCCCTTAGTACTCTTGTGTTAGCACGCACTCTCCTACTATTATCCTCTCTCCCACAAAGAAAACAATTAAATTTTCTCATAAGCAATTGTGCAAAAGTATGTGTTGTAGGTTATTTTTTTTTGCTTCGTTGTTTTTTGTTGGTGTTTGTGAAGGAAATAAATAGTAATAAAACCTTCACATATAATTCATTTTGACACCGCTTATGATTGTGATTCTCGGCGTACAAATAAAAATATCCTTAGGTAAAAATAGGATAATATTGTTTATTTTATTTCTTTTTCCTTCTTTTTTCTCATACAACATATATTTTCGGATACATACATACATACATTTGTATGTATATTTATGTGAATTTAAATATGAGTATTATATTTTGGTTGAGAGTATTTTCTTTTTTTAAAAAACAAAAACAACAATTAAACCTATCCCAATGTTGTTGTTTTGCATAAAACTAGAAATAATTTGAGAGTGAAAGATTTTTGAAATATTTATTTGAAAGTTTACAACATATAAATTATATATGATTTACACTTAATTTATTAATAAATATTCTTTGTTTGTCAATATTGAGGATGATATATGAACATGACAGGTTTATATATTTTTAAAATATCAAAGTGCTTCATATGGCTGGAAATTATTTTTTTTTTATGAAATCGATCTCCCATAAAATCGTGTTGATGAATTTTTACTTTTATAATTCTATTTAGGACGCCAAAACCAGACATGATCCCAGCAAAAACTTTCAAAAGTTATTAGTTTAAAAATAACTGAAAACTCTCATAAATACTTGTTCGTAAGCATTTTAACTTATTATTTCAACACGGCGATGACATTGTAGGCAACTCCGCGTTAAATAAGTACGCCTTAAATAAGTCATTACAATTAGGAAGTTAAAAAATGTTGTTATGTTTTACTCGACTTCATTAGTCGCTGAAAGGTGAAATAGCTCAGATTTTGACAGAATTTAAAAATTATTCTCAAGACAATCCATAGTCGATAGTCTTGAATAGATAGTATCAACTCTATCACTCATAAAGTCGATTCCGTCATTGAATTCTTTACGAGAAAATTTAGGAAACAGTAAAACAACAAAAATTATTTTTATTAAAATTCAGGAATCAAATAACTACTTGATTAAAGATGGTTTTTTTTATTATTTCTTCAAAAATAATACCTATGAAATTAATATCGACGAATTAACAGATTTTATGAAATTTTTACACCAAAATAAAACAATTTAATTAAAGTGAATTAAAAAATATTGATAACATTCTTTTAAATTCTTTAAACTAATATTGTGAAAAATATTACCCAATTTACCTACTTTTCTACAAGCATATCTTTAAATCTATATTTTAAATTAGTTTAAAAATTCACTGATATTCATTCATAATCACACAAGTTTTTTTTTTCCAAAATACTTGTTTATGTTCATCTTTTTTTTTATTTGGCGAAAAATAACAACAAAAACAAAATTCCTACAGTAAACAATTTTTCTCAATTTATAGTCCGTATTGTTCTCAGTTAAAAAAAAAATCCTTATTTCAAAAGAGTCCTGCGCTTTAAAGCTTTCCAATGGCCTTTTTAATTGTATAAGAGTTTAACTAAAAATATTCTCTTTATTACAAAATTATATCCCAATAATTCTCTTTATTCAGCAGGTTAAATGAAAGAAACTTCCCTTAATATGGGGAAATGCCTGATAATTTCCTTGAAATATAAAACTGTGTAATGTTGGCACCTTTAACATACTTTGATGATGTCTAAACACATTTTAAACTTCAATATATTATTTCTATACTGCATTTTATGGATCTTTATGATTTCTATATCTGGTGGCGGAATGTAATTATTTAAAAAACAATTTCAACGAAAAACGAATTTCATCGTAATACTAGAGTATATAAAAAAATGATGGACCTTGAAGTCATTTTCTAAAAGGGAATTTGTATGGGGGCTAGGATCAACTTATACAAAACTTAGTTCGCAGATTTTGGCTATATTTTAAAAAAATTTGGGCCTTAAGTCTGTATGTGAGAGACCACCTGTATGGTGTATATACGGACGGACAGACAGACGTCTAACTACAAACCATTTTGGGAAAATTTCAGCCTTCTATTTAGGGAGAACCTTGAGTTCTTCACAATATAATACTCTGTATTAATTTTTGAAACCTTTTATAGAATACCCCTTTATAAAGTAGGAATTGTTCACAAAGTTATTTAGTACTTTTTTGTACTAAAACCCGGTTCCGCTAGAGTGTTATATTCGGCTATGCCGAATCTTATATAACCACCATCAATTGATATAAAACGAAGGCTACCCTATAAATAATCTTTGATATTTATGTATTAATGCTTTTGTTATTGTCATTTATTAGATTTATGTTAAAATTTATAATCGATATTAATATGAACATCAGGGTGATACGAGTCAATTATTATAAGACAATTATTGACCGAGCTTATAAATATATACATATATAACTTATAGTGTATGTGTCCGATTTCATCGTTCACTTATGAGCTTAAATTTTATTTCCCGATGGCAACTTTTATGGTGGATAAGGTCAATTATGGACCAATCTTCATAAAGTTAGAACATAAAATTTGGTGAAATTTTATCGCTATACACGTATTTTAAAACCAGTAATGAGAGTTATGTCATTTTCTAAACGGGTCCCTATATGAGGGTTAGGGTCAATTATGGACCGATCTTCAAATTTGGTAGAGGGATTTTTGGTCACATTAAACTTGTTTATGTCGAATTTCATTGCAACCCTGTAACTCTTTCTGTTCGGACCTTATCGTACTTGGATGATTTGACATAGGGTCTAACCAGATCACAACATAATCTGGTACTATGGGTGGACAAATGATCGCAGGACTGGCTGGTAAGTTGTTTAATGTGCCTTCGGGATCCACGTAGTGGCTGCGGTGTAAGCCCAAATTCGTGGGAAGGGGTGCATGGTTAAAAGATTGATACACGGTGAAATATAAATTTTCGGGACAACTTTCTGTTACCTAGTTTCTAGGAACTCAGTAGTGTGGTTGGGTGACTTAAAAAGGTCCAGAAATGCATGGGGGGTGAGATTGTTTGGGTCTGCCCCTTCTATAGACTCTAACCAGTGATTGCCTTTTCCTTTGTCGGGGTAAGATTGAGCTTGACTCATGACACCAACGGGACTACTATGGCAAGAGATTAGCTCGAGCACTCGTCCAAAGTGCAAGTATACTGGACCGGAAATTCCATATACGTAAATTACCACCTGCGTGTAAGATGCACAATGGGGCGGTGAGTCAGACAGTGAGTAGTTGCAAAAGCTCACCCAGTGGTTGAAAAAGACCACCGTGAAGCACCGTGAAGACTCACGTAAAGCACTCCGACATTAAATACAGACAGACGGACGGACAAGGCTAGATCATTTAAGAATTTAATAAGGACCCATAATATATATAGTTTAATTGGTCTTTGATCAATTATTGATGTGTTACAAACGGAATGACAAAATCAATATCTCCCCCATCTTTTTTGATGGTGGGTATAAAAACCAAGGAGAGCATCTCTTCACGAAAACAGAACTTCGAATCATCTGCATCGGTTTAAAAGTTATAGAATTTTGGCCAATAAAAAATTAAAAATATTTTAATTTTGATTAAAAGTATAATTGAACATTTTTAAGAAATTACTGATCGTTCCCTTCACTATAATTAAAAACACT